GGAGCCCAGAACAAAGGGGCGCTGCCGAGTGACCCCAAGAGGGGCGGTTTGTCCCCAAAACCCCTGGCAAGGACAGCGAGGGCAATCCGCGCCTCGCGGGGCATTCCCGGAGCTTTTCCAGGGTTTTTTTTTCCTGCTGGTTTTTCGGGCTCCCGCTCAGGCTGGGCTGGAGAGGTCGAGGACGCTCCGGATCAAAGTCGGACAAAACCCCCCCGAGGGTCGCGTTTCCCTGGGAAATTTTTTTTCCTTCGGGAAAATCCGATTTCCAAAGGGAAAAGCGCCCAAAATCGGTCGGAAAGAGGCAAAAGGCGGCCCGAACCGCGGCAGCGCATCCTGCGCGCATCCTGCGCGGGGCTGAGCGGGCAGCGCTGCCCTCTCCTCCCCTCCCGGCCCCGGTTCTCCCGTTGAAAGGCAGAGCAGGAAACGGGAGCGCTCGTTTTTATGATTTCGGGCGGGTTTTTTTTCCTTTTTTTTCCTTTTTTTTTTAATATTTTACGAGCTCCGACATGCGAGGAGTCAATAAAAGTGACAGCGGCGGCCGAGATGAAATGTTGGCAGCGATTCTCGGGTGAGAATTCGGAGATTTTCTCCCCCCCCTCTCTCCCCGGCCCTGCGCTCGCTCCGCCCGGCCGGGCAGATTTAACCCTTTCATTCATTCTGCGTGCCGGAGAAAAGCTTTCTGCAGGGCAGCGACTTTATTAAATATTCAGGGGGATCCAGGGACTGAGCCCGGATTTTGGCATCGCTCTCTGTCACAGCCTCGCATTCGTTTCGGTTTCGGGTTTTGGGGGGTGCAGACCCCCCTCCCCATCCCACCCGCCGTCTGTATTTTATTTTATTTGGTTGTATTTTAAAATAGTAATAATTTTAATTTGGGGTTTTTTTTGCTCTCGGTTTGGGACTGTGAGAGATGAGCCCTTGGAGGGGGGGAGTCAGCCCAGAGCCCCCCGAGTTTTAAAGGGGTGGGGGGCTCGGTTCAGCCCCTTTGTGGGGGTCACCGGGGGGGGCTGAGGGGTCGCTGTGGCCGAGCCCCCCCCGTTGGGGACCCCGGGATGACCCCAACCCCACCCTCAGCCCCTGAGCGGGGGGCTCAGAGCCCCAGCGGGACCCCCAGAGCCAGGGGGACACCCCAGAACCGGGTCAGGACCCCGGAACTCCAGGGCAAGTCTGGAGCCTCGCAGAGACCCCCGAGCACGGCGGGAGCCGGGAGGGACCCCAGACCCAAAATGGGATCCAGAGCAGGTAGAGACCCCAGACCCAAAATGAGACCCAGAGCCCGGATGGGACCCCAGACCCAAAATGGGACCCCGAACTGCGAGAGACCCCAGACCCAAAATGAGACCCAGAGCCCGGATGGGACCCCAGACCCAAAATGGGACCCCGAACTGGGAGAGACCCCAGACCCAAAATGGGATCCAGAGCAGGTAGAGACCCCAGACCCAAAGTGAGACACAGAGCCGGGATGGACCCCAGAGCCGGGAGAGACCCCAGACCCAAAATGGGATCCCGAACTGGGATGGGACCCCAGACTCCGAGCAGGGAGGGGACCCCAGACCCAGAATAGGACATAGAATCTGGGGGTACCCCAGACCCACAATGGGATCACGAACCGGGGAGGGACCCCAGACCCAAAGTCCACAGGGGACCCCAGACCCAGAATGGGACACAGAACCGGGAGGGGACCCCAGAGCCGGGAGAGACCCCAGACCCAAAATGGGACCCAGAACCGGGAGAGACCCCAGACCCGAAATGAGACCCAGAGCCAGGACCGGACCCCAGACTCTGAGCAGGGAGGGGACCCCAGACCCAGAATAGGACACAGAACCGGGAGGGGACCCCAGACCCACAACGGGACCCGGAACAGGGAAGGGACCCCAGACCCAAAATCCACAGGGGACCCCAGGCCCAGAATAGGACACAGAATCAGGGGGGACCCCAGACCCACAATGGGATCACGAACCTGGAAAGGACCCCAGACCCAAAATCCACAGGGGACCCCAGACCCAGAATAGGACACAGAACCGGGAGGGGACCCCAGAGCCGGGAGAGACCCCAGACCCAAAATGGGACCCAGAACCGGGAGAGACCCCAGACCCGAAATGAGACCCAGAGCCAGGACCGGACCCCAGACTCTGAGCAGGGAGGGGACCCCAGACCCAGAATAGGACACAGAACCGGGAGGGGACCCCAGACCCACAATGGGATCACGAACCTGGAAAGGACCCCAGACCCAAAATCCACAGGGGACCCCAGACCCAGAATGGGACACAGAACCGGGAGGGGACCCCAGAGCCGGGAGAGACCCCAGACCCAAAATGGGATCACGAACCTGGAAAGGATCCCAGACCCAAAATCCACAGAGGACCCCAGACCCAGAATAGGACACAGAATCAGGGGGGACCCCAGACCCACAACGGGACCCGGAACAGGGAAGGGACCCCAGACCCAAAATCCACAGGGGACCCCAGACCCAGAATGGGACACAGAACCGGGAGGGGACCCCAGACCCACAACGGGACCCGGAACAGGGAAGGGACCCCAGACCCAAAATCCACAGGGGACCCCAGACCCAGAATGGGACACAGAACCGGGAGGGGACCCCAGAACAGGGAAGAGACCCCAGACCCAGGGTGGGCGCTGGGGCTGTGGAAGGCAGAGCCCCTCCCCCACCCCGGTGCTGCCCCTTCGGGACGGGTCCTGCCCGGGGGGGGGGGGGGGGGGGGGGGGGGGGGGGGGGGGGGGGGGGGGGGGGGGGGGGGGCTGGGCTGGCACAAAACCTCCCCAAAAGATTTTTTTTTTGGTTTTTTTGGCAGCTCCTCAGACCCTCAGGGCTCTGCCTCTCCTTCCCACCGGCTCCAAAATCCCAAATTTTCCTCCCTGGTGCCGCCAGAACGGGATTTGTTTGGGTCAGGGGGGTCCGGAGCAGCATCTCCCCCCCTCCCCAGACCCCCAAACCCCCTCCCTCACCATTTTTTTTTCTTTATTAACTCACTAAAACCTTTCCCCCCCCCCAGCAGCGGCCGATAAAACCCTGGGGAGGATTCGGGGGGGGGTGGGGGATAATTGGCTATTTCGAGCGGCTCGAGCGAGCGGAATTTCATTGATTTCTGAGCAATCAGCCCTTTCTCCTCGCCTGTCATCTCCGCCGAAGGTCCCGGTCCTTCATCACCCCGAAAGAAATCCGCGCCCCCTTTTCCCCCTCGCGGGCCGATCCTTCCCGGAGAGGAAGCGATTAAAGCCCCTAAACACGAGTCAGCAGCGCCTTAATTCGGAATTTATTGCGGCCGGCAGGGGAGGCTTATTTCACATCAAAGCCTCGCTGAGAGGAGGAAAAAAAAAAAAATTAACATTAAAAAAAAATAAAGGCGGAAATTCGAGGTTTAGGCCAGGGGCAGCAGAGGTTCCCCCGCTTTTTTTTTGTGATGTGTTTTATGTGGTTTTGGGGTTTTGATTCGTTTGGAGCCCCCCGGCATCGCCCCCGGCTCGCTGATCCAGGCCCGGAGCCGCTTCATTTTTTTTTTTTTAAATTTAGAAAACCCGAGGCCAACACGAGTGGAGACAAAAGGGAAAAGAGCTCGGTGGCTTCGCAGGGAAAAGTTTGGCAGCGGGGAGCGTTTGCTTTGAAGTTTTCTCTCTTTTTTTTTTTTTTTTTTGGCCGTGCGGGGAGGAGGGAAAGGAGGGGGACACGAAAGAAATAAAAGGCAACAAGGGCGTTCCGACACTTCCCTGCTCGCAGCCGTCCCGAGATGAAAAGCGAGGCTATAAATCAGAGCCGGGGTGGCGATTTCACTCCTTTTTTTATTTATTTTTTATTTTTTTTCCCTTTTTCTTCCTTGTTTTTTAGCGCAGATATGAGGGGAGGGCTCAAGGAGAAGCCCCCCCCCATTTCGGATGCCAAATCCGCCTGGGATTTTTTTTTCTTGGCTGCTCGCGCGGAGCTCGGGACCCTCGGGGGGATTCTGCCGGCGATGGGAACCCACCGGGGGTGGGGGCGCAGGCAGCGACCCCCCCAGCCCCTCTCCCCACCTTTGGGGTGTGTTTTTGGGTTTTTTTTTTTGAGGATGGGGAAGATTCCCCCCCCCCGATTCCCGGCGGGTTTTGGGGAGGGGGATCCGCGCCCAGCTCCCAATTCCCGGCGCTGGGCTAAAAAAATCGCCTGGATTTGGGGTTCCCCGCAGCTCCCAAAAAATCCCAAAAACCCCTGGAAAAGGGGGGATTTAACCCTGGGATTCTCTGGAGGGCTGAAAAAACCCCCCAAACCCCTCGAAAGGACTTTAATTAAAGTCATTAAACCCTTTAATAACGGGTTTCAAGAACTTTAACTCCCTCCCTTCTCTGCCTCTCGCGCTCTCCTCGTTTTTTTTTTTTTTTTGTGTTTTTTTTTCCCCCTTTTCCCGAGACATATGGAATCAATTTCCAGCCCTGACACTGAAGGCTGGCCAATTCCTACTGGCTCGAAAAAAGCAGAATCCATTTGGTTCCCTTCTCCCCGGCACCCCCTGTCACTCACTGTTCCTCCCTCTTGCAACATTTTAAGTCTTCATAAAGAGAAACAGCTTTCGGGGCAGATCCCGGCCGCTCGGGACAGGGGGAGGGTTTTTTTGGTTTTTTTTTGGGAGTTTTTCCCCTTTTTTTGTTTTTTTTTCCAGAGCAGAACGAGCGCTCGCCCCCTCATCCTCACCCTTGCCGCAATTTGGGTTTTTTTTGCTTGAATTTTTAATTTTTTTTATTGCAGAGCCGTTCTGTTCGAACCGAACGAGTAAAAAAAAAACCCAAAAAAACCCCAACCAATAATTAAAATTAAAAAAAAATACAAAGCTTCTTTGAGGAAAAAAAAAAAAAAACCCAAAAAAACCCCAACCAATAATTAAAATTAAAAAAAAAATACAAAGTTTCTTTGAGGAAAAAAAAAAAAAATTTAAATAAAAAAAGAATCCCAACCCCACCGAGATCCGACGGGGGTGGAATAAATGAGATTTTTCTTAATTTTCCTGCTCCAGTGAGGAATCCTCTCCACCCCGAGCCGGCTTTTCCTCCTTCTCCTCGGAGTCCTGGAGTCTGGCAGGTAAGAAGTTCAAAAACAAAATAAATAAATTAGCGCGGCCCGGGCCGCGAGCTGTAATTAATTGCTCCGAGCGCTTTGACAAGGCTCCGAATTAAGAGCGACGCGAGGCTGAAGAGGAGCAAAAAAAATTCTCCGGAATTACCAGCTCCTTTCCAAACTCGCTTTTTCCCCTCCTAAAAAGTCCTTTTATTCTTATTTTTATTTTTATTTTTTTTACCCCTGGGCGTTTGTCGAAGGTTTCTCGCCTTCTGTGTGGTTTGACAAGGCGAAAAAAAGAGCAAAACCCCCCCAAAAAAACCCATAAAAAGCTTTGGAAAAGCGGCTGTTCAAGCGCAGGGCGCTCGGGCCGTGATTTATGGCCCCACCGAGTTTTTTGTTTACTCGGAGCAAACCCTAATTACAACAAAAAGCGGGGGAAAAATAGGAAAAAAAAAGAGTTTTCCCAAACTCGAGCGCGTTTTCCCTCCTCCAGATGCGCCCCACAAACATCTGGAGGCTCGCGCTGCTTCTCCTCCTCTCCGGATGTCGAGGCTCCTGAAAATTCGGATTTTTTTGGGTTTAAAAAGCTCAGATTTGGGAAATGTTCACTCTGGAGTTTTTTTTGGGAGAGGGAGGGGCGGCGAAAACGCCTCCAAAGCTGGCGGGGAGGGCGTGGGAACAGCGGAGGTTTCATTTTCTGTGGATTTCTGCTGCAAATTTCTGTCTCAGGGATAAAAAAATAAATAAAAATAAATCCCAATCCCTCCTCCCCCAGCAAGGCCCGACTCGATTTTAGAGGCGAGACAGAAAAATCCTTTGTAGGGTAAGGAAAAGGGGGAAAAAAAACCCAATAAAACCCCTCAGAAAATCGAATTAAAGCGGCAAAGTTTGGGTGTAAATATCAAGAATTTGCGCTCTCTGCTGGGGGAAAAAAACCAAAAAACCCCCTCAGAAAATCGAATTAATGCGGCAAAGTTTGGGTGTAAATATCAAGAATTTGCGCTCTCTGCTCTCCTCTGGCAGCGAGAAAATAATTCCAAAATTTCCTCATCCATCGGGAAACCGGGAGAGTTTGGGCTCGGCTCTTTCCCCAGGCCAAAAGCTGATTTTATTTTCCTTTTAATTTCTTTATTTTGACGACGATGATGATTATTTTATTATTTTCTGGAAATCGCCCTGCCTCCCATTTCTCCACTTCCGGAATTATCTCCGTTCTCCTCCAGCCAAACTTGAATTTTTAATTTCTTTTCTTTATTTTTTTATTTTATTTTTTAACCCGAGCGCTCGAGCGAAACCCGAGGAGAAACCTCAGGCCCTAAGTGGCCGGAATTTCATTGATTTTTTTATCATAAATCACGTGAAGAAGCGAAGTTTTGCCCGAGGGAAATTGATATTAATGGACATTTTCTGATCTTTCACCGGGCGCATTTTTAGGGAATTTATTGGATTTCTTTCCCCACTTTTCTAAGCTGGCGTTTCTCCCACTCTCCCCAAAATAATCCGAATTTTATTCCCGGTTTCTCTGTGGAATAGGGAGCTCAGCTCCTCGAGGAGGAATTTTATTTTAAGGGGGTTGAGCGCCGAAAAATGAATTTTTTTTGGGATATTCCCCCCCTTCATGCGTTGTTGCAGTTTCTGGGGGTGCCGGGATGCTCAAATTTTGTCGAAATTTGGATTTTTTCGCCCGGATTTTGTCAGGAATAGGATTTAACCCCTTCGCTGCCCCCGCTCTCAAATTTGCCGCGATTAAAAATTAACCCGGAGCGCGGGATGGCCGCGGGCCCTGGGAAGCGCTGATGAGGAACAAAACCAAAAAAAAAGCGGATTTTAACCCAAAAAAAGCCGCGCGCGGGTGGTTCTGAGGCTGTTTTTGGCTGCGGCGCTCAGGTGGAGAAATCCTGGCGGTGAAACCATCCCGGAGTGAAAAAAAAAATCGAATTTCTCTGCGCCGCTTTTCCCTTCCTGCGGATTTTTGTCTCTTTTTGAGGGAAATCCCTCTTTTTGAGGGATTTTTGTCCTTTTTGAAAGGAAGCTCCGCTCCTCCCGCAGCTCCTTCCTCGCTCATTCCGGGATCCAGGCGCGGATTCCTGCGAAGAAAAATAAAATTAAATTCACCCAATTCCTCTTTTTCCCCACAAAAACGGCCGTGGGAAAAGCTCTGAGGAGAAAAGTTTTGAATCTTAATTTTCCTCCCTTTTTATTTTTATTTTTCCTCGTATTTTTTTTTAATCTTTTGGAGGAGGGTAGGGGTTGAAAAATAGAAAAAAAAAAACGAAAAAAACGGGGAAAAAACGGGAATCGCCGCTTCCTTTCCGGGGCCATCCCCAGGATTTGGGAGGCAGAAAAAACCCCAAATTTTTCTTTTTTCCTGACCCCAAATCCCGGTTTTTCTCCCGGATTTGCCAGCCGTGCTTGGCGCTGCCGCCATCCCCGTTCGTGTCAAAGAGGAAAAAGGGAAAAAAATTAAAATTAGGAGGGAAAATAATTTAAAAAATTAAAAATAGAAGGAAAAAAAGCGGGGTGGAGCTGGGGCTCGGCTCCCGGGGAGCTCTGGGCATCCTCGGGATTCCCAATTCTCGCTAAAATGGGAAAAAAAAGCCAAAAAAACCCCCAAAACTTTGACGTGTTGGGTCACGTGGGCGCAGAATTCCAGCGGTGATTTGGGGAAAAAGGGGAGGGGATGAGGGGAGGGGGGTGGGGATTCCCATCCCTGCCCCCACTCTTCCCCCCCAAAATCCCCCCCAAAAAAATCTTCCCCTCATCCCTTGTGGAACTCGGAAGGGATTTTTGGGTGCCCCAAAATTCTGGGGGTCCCAAAAAATCCCGGGGCTCCCCCCAAAAATAAATCTTGTTATTTTTGGGTGTCCCAAAATATTGAAGCCCCGAAAAAATCCCGGGATTTTTGTGTGCCCCAAAATCCTGGGGATCCCCAAAAAATCCTGGGGATCCCCAAAACCGCCTGGGATTTTTGGGTGTCCACGTGCCCCCATCCAGGCGTGGTTTTGCGGCCGTTTTTTTTGGCTTTATTTTGATTCTTGGGGTGTTTTTTTTGGCTTTATTTTGATTTTTGGGGTGTTTGTTTTGCTTTATTTTGATTTTTGGGAATTTTTTTGGCTTTATTTTGATTTTTGGGCTTTTTTTTTTTTTTTTTTTTTTTTTTTTTTGGTTTTTGGGGGGTTTTTTGGTTTTTTTTTTTTTTTTGGGGGGTTTT